AGTTGTGTGTATTTTGAAAATCTTTCCCCTGCAACTTTTCTTATTCAAATCCAGCTTCTCAGTGTACCCCAATTCTTGCGAGAGGAGACATAGAACCATGGATGGAATAAACGAGCCTCAACACGTGTTCCAAGTGTGCTGTGAGGATATGTGCTCTGTTTTCACCGCGTATTCGATTCGTCAGGACCGAAGGGAAGATTGCCTCTCGTGTATTTGTCGAAATATGGATTACCATACCAAAGGAGATGGGAGGAAATTCTACCTACAGCATCAAATTAGTTGAGAGTTCTCTGAAATATGAAGTCAAGCTAAATGGAATGTCATGGGATACCCAGCAAAAGATTGTTGGGTCAACCCTTCGTACATACTTTAATTTCAGGTCTGGACGAGATAATTTTGACACACGAAGATGTATAGAAAAAAATCTTATTTCAGCTTGAGAGCAAGCAGCGCATTGAAATCCCTTCTCGAATCCATTTCCAAGTGCAAGAAGAAGCCACTAAGTTCTGTCGGTTGCGCATCTTCTTCCCTACCGCTTGAGCGAATTCTTCATTCTCTAGAGCTAGATAGTGAAGAAAGGCGAATTCGGATACACAAGAATAGAGACTGGATTCGAGACTTTTGGAATATGCTCAGAGCTCTCTGGGAAACTTCTGTGCTAATTCTGAAGTGCGTTCTGCTCTTTTCGATAGAAAAGGCGGCTCCGAAAGCCAGCATTCGTTTATCGTCGCGTAAATTCTGCTGCAACAAACAGACGAAGTTCTTCCGTTCTTCATCTTGGCAAGCTTCTCGGTTGTAAAAATTGATATCTCCCGCATAGTAGAGAGTTCCACAACTACAGCTGGTGCTGATTCGCAGAATTTGTTGATCCCATGGCTAGTTTTGGGCGGTATTAGATTCGACCCTACTGCCACCCTTTGTATAGCAAGTTGTTCGGGATATCAAGATGTTCGAGCATCTACCAATAGTTCGCTGCCTCTTAGTTTGCTTCTATATTGCCATGGAGATGTCAGCCATAGGTTTTCGTGCAGTCGCCTAATCGATATTTCATCGTCTAGACATCATTTACAAGCTCGGGAGTCCGTCGCCTGGCTCTAACGCCTGGCTCTGACGCTTGGGTTATCAGACTTGTATAGAAGGAAGAATAGAATCCAACTTCCACGTACATACCTAAGAGATAACTCAGGTCACCCAAGTATGTTCAACTCCAATCCCCCATAGACGTTCTGCGATCTCAACAGATCTCCACCACCTCACCCACGTGTATCGAAGAACCAATTGAGCTCACATGACCTGGTATAAGCTTTCCTTGCTATCTTCGCTCCTCAAGGAATAGAGTTGAGCAAGGAGCCCATCGTCTCGGTAGTCTCGAAATTCTCATCAGGACCAAGGTGGAAGCCTAACGATGAGTAGTGCCCAGCATACAAACCATATACAAAAGACAGACCCATGTATGACCCTCTTAGTCTGCGTCGTTCACGAAGGATCATGAGGAATACTGCCATAACATCGGTTATCGAATACCAGAATCGAACCTGAAACCCCTGCCGTTTCACGACATAGAGGGACCCGAGTATCAGATATTTTGAATTATCGTTATGACTTGCTAGACGAGATATTCGTTGGAACTTTTCGGTATGAATTTCATGAATAGTAGCATCCGTTCGGTACGAAGGAGAGTAGTCTGTTGAGATGTCCGGAACTCCATTTTCGCCTGAAGGCTTTCGTACTTTCCTGCACGATTATCGCATAATTCTTTGAATTGTTCTGAGATCATTTTTTTGATTAGTATATCGCTTCACAAACTAGAATTCTGACTCTAGTATTCCTGTACCTCTTTTGTTGCAGATAGTGTTGATCACGCTTATGCGAATGGTATTGGTTGTTGTAAAATTCGAGTGTTCGTTTGGGATACGCGATGTTAGCTATCTAACCATTGATATATACAATAAAATATATGTTTGAAGAGGCTCCTGATTGCATTCGCAGGGGTTGGAATGTTCGCGAATGTCTATTCCAAAAAAATCAGTCTTTTCGGCCCCTTGAAATTGAAGCACCCCATGGTTCTGCCTTCGGGCTAAATTAGCATATTGATATTGAATAGAATATAACTTTGGTACTGCACTGGAGACAGAACTTCGATAATGCCAGATTCTTGTTTATTCTATCAACTACCCTCGTTGTTGTCGTGTTATCGATCCGCTGGAAGCCCATTTCGCACAAATATAACTCGTTATGAACCTACGCAGCCTTTGAGACTCCCCTTCGATATACTTTCGCAGTTTAGTGAACGAATTGCAACGAAACAAGTGATAAGATAAGTATCTAAGGTCAATATATTCTATTCTCAAAAATTCTCAATTGAAAAAATCGTACGCTCACAATTGATCATGTGCCATTTGCTTCTTCATCCAGACAAGCGTTGCGAGAATAGATAAGTAGTGATGCAAAAATGTGAGAATGAATCCATTCCTATCAACGCATTTCTCGTATTCGATCGAGGTCGTCCTATCGCCTGTGATTATAGCCAAAAATGGAGGGATATTCGAGTGAAAACGCCGTTTCGTCCTCCGTGTGTGTCGATATTCAATCTTTCGCTCCGCCAAACTCTTTTCTTATGTCTCCAACCACACATAATTTGTGAAGAATCGCCATCTGACCGAAAAATCTCGGTCAAGAGAGTGGTGTTGTTGCTATCTGATCATTTCAGGTCAGTAAATGTTAGCATTCGCTAAATTCAGGGGCTCGATTCAGGAGATCTCAGGTCTTTTCTATCAACAGCGATGTTTGTCATCGATGATGTTTTTGATGATTTTTGATGTAGATGATAGATTTTATTGGATAGTGTGGATCGAAAGTCGTGTTGAGGCTCAAGTGGTCGTTCCTTCCACTTTACTAGCGCATTCAAACTCAGGCGTATTCTCGTTCAAACCCCCACTCAACATCTCAATTAATTCAGACAAAATATTTATTAGAGAGATGTGTGCTGTTACTTAGAAGAATTCCAAGATTCTTAAGCATACATGAAATGGTTTGCTGGATGGAAGTGTCTTTCTGTACCCAACTGCCTGCACATATGCTCCTTATACTTCCGTCGTACACATTTTTCGTAGAGATTTCACATGCAGGACATGACCTTTTCAATTCACATCTTAAGTTTTGAGATTATATATCGATAATAAATGATACAAAAAGTGATAATGCCTCTTGACTCGAGGTGAGAAAGAAGGTGCGTGATAGAAATAACATGAAAAGTTCATTCTAATATCTAGACAACCAAGAAGATTGAGTACAGTTTAGAGGAAATAATATTGTCTTGACCTTGAATGATTGATTGTATAATTGTATGCTGTATCACAGCAATGCTATCATAAATAGCCACAATCGTTCAACACGTTCAGCATCACGTCTATCATCTCACTGTGCCCTCGTTCTTCATGCCCTAGTCTTTCATACCCTAGCTCTACATACCGTCACACCCTCTTACCTTCCCACAATATTATAAAATCAATATCAATGTCAACCTATAGTATTGAAAGTGTACATCTATCATGAAGGCTACTTGTCCATATCTACGCCACAGGTACAATTGTTCATAGACGCGCAAAAAATCTCGTGATGCATTTACTATCGTCATGGAGCAATACATCGATGACATTACTATCTTTTTTTTCATGTCATATGAAGAGCTTATACTTTGCAATCTGTCCTCTTCGTCGTGTGGAACGATATCCATCATATTGAGTTTCATACTATGTACACTTGAGAAGAAATTTCTTTCCGCTCGTCAGAATTTTCACAGCATCATAGTGCAATATCTCCAACCTATGTGAAATAAAACATGACTCTTCCAGCGCTTGAATTCAAGCTTAGCGGCGGTTAGAAATCTCACAAAGTTATGTAATCTAGGTCTCAGAAAGTCAGAGTCCAAGGTCTTATGAACGAAAAGTTGGTTATTTTACTATTCCCAGAGTTTTACGTAGCAAAAATGTGATTTCCGATGATATGCTTTCATTACTCGAGATCTGCATAGTCTGTAGATGTGATGCCTCGAGAACTTGTATCATACTCGTGCAAATGTGATTGGAGGATTACCTTAGCTTCTTGTCTCTCCTCGAATGTCAGAATTAGTGGGAAAATATTCTTTTCGCCTTGGCTATCCAATGAGGAGTAGGATTGACAGAATGAAATAAAGATCTGAATGATCAGAGGCATTACAGAATTCGAATTTGGGTCAATATCTCAGACTGGTTTATAGTTCAATATGGGTATCATTCTTTACAGCAGTTCAGCATCTAACATGAGTTCAACAATTCACATGGACTCAATGTCTGACCTGAGTTCAACAACCCAAAACAATACAATATACCAAAGTAAACTAATATCTGTAACTAATTCAATGTCCCAAGTGAAGTTCAACATTCCAGGTGATTCTAATTTTCCATCGGATCTAGATTCTGAAACCCCCATATGCACGACATATCGCATAAAGCTTATTCTGATGTGTACTAAGTGGAGCCATACCATGGCAGGTTCTTTCCCTTCCTGGCATGATTGGATCATCTGTCAATCTCCACGCTATTTCCTCAATGAATAATCTACAATGTCCCCCCCCATAAACTTTTAGATATCCCGCCTAAAATTCCCCAAGTTCCAACCCAGATTAAAGTTTCCCCTAAATCAAACTCCTATGTAGTCAATAGATATCAGGAAAGAGCAAACTTCATGGTGTTCTTTTGCCCAAAGAGGATAGCACAGAATTTCCAGTCGAAATGGAAATCTCAATTCTATCTATATATAACGGCTCTGAGTGCTCTGTCCTTAGAGATTTCTTTTCTTGCTCAGCTACAAACATCTTCTTCTCTTGATATACTTCCAATATCAACTTCTTTACCCACTCTTCCATATAATTTATTAGATCAACTTTTGAATAATAAATTACCCCTTCTACAAATCACCTTCGCTTATTTCTTTTACTTACGACCATTACAATTCATACAATGGCTCAAATTCAGCGCTTGGGGGAGGATGTCGCCGCTTACGGCGATCAGTGGCCGCTCTTACCGGTCAATCCTGGCTCTATGGCTAGAGTTAGGGAGGCGAGGATGGGGGATATTGTTGACTTCCCAGCCGGAGGTTATCTCCTCGTGCCTACGGGTATAGGGAGATATTACCGACCAATGGTGGTTCTCGGGGTTTTTCCACTGGTGTGGAACTACCAAAGCCGGGAGTTTCTCATGCAAGAGAATCTCCCCCATCTTTACGCATCCCCACTGGCTAATTGCCTCATTGTGGCAATAGTGCCAGATCCAGGGTATGCGGAGCGCGAGGCTGCTGCTCGCCAGGATAGAGAACGCCGAGCTGCTTCTCGTCGGGAGACTAACCGCCGGGCACTTCAACGGGCTGCTGAGCGGGCTGCTGAACGCCAGGCTCTTGAACGGGATGCGACTGAAAAGGCAGCTGATGAACAGCCTGTTCCCGCCGCTCCTCTCTCCCCTGCCTCTCCCGTTCCTGCCTCTCCTGTTCCCGCCGCCGCTCCTCTCGCCGCTGCTCCTCTCGCCCCTGCCCCTCTCGCCCCTGTTCTTCCTGCGCCTGTTCCTGTCGCCCCCGCTCTTGTTGTCCCCGTTGGTGGTGCACCCAACGACCACCATCAAGCTGGCAATAGTGTGCTTGTCGAGGGCAGTTGGCCGTGGTGGAGACAATTTGTGCCTGACGAAATTGTTGATCAATGGGAGCAGGAGGAGAAGGCAGAGAGGCAAAGGATCCCAATCGTAGTCCTAGAATAAGAATCTTCTGATCTCTGAGTCTTATTCAGACATCGAAAGATTCACTCGTTGGGATCACAGTTGGGTGGCTGACGGCGCCATCTCTCACACTATCAGCCATTGATATATAGACTGCTGGTAGTTAAGTGAGAGATGGTGTTGTTGAGGTTGCATTTTGGGTGGCAGACAAAGTCGTCTCTCATGAGAAGGATAGACTGAACAAGTAAGTTTTTACACCCTGATATTATGTACTTCATGGATGAATATGTGCTGACTTTCATCCTCTAGTCACCATCTCATACAAGGTAGATCAGGCCGTGATTTTTCCTCGGAGAAACCCAAGCTCCGTGGAAAGAGAAAGGGTCGCGAGATATCAGTGTCAGAGAGTGGGTTGTCGTTTTGGAGTTTGGTGATTTTGGTGTTATTCACATTGTTGATGTTTATTCTGTTTTTTTCTGCTTTGTTTAACCAGTATGTCGAATGTGTCGCAGAAATGTATAAATTGTTTTACCTGCAGTTGGAAAGATGTTCATACCAAATTGAAACCAAAAAACCAAATTGAATCCAAGGCTTCTCAGTAATTCAGTGATGTGAATCTCTTTCTCTCTTCGGTGATACCACCTGCTCGCTATACGGAATAGATTGAACAATGTAAAAATAAACCGAGAAATCTTGCTTTACCAGACGACAGTGAGTTGACCTCTTACCACGGTTGAGAAATTGGGATCTGTGAAGTGATAAATTAGCAACGGTCTCATCAGTGAATGAGATGTGTGTGGAAGTAACGATTGGTGAAAGCGAACAGCGGAAAGCACAATTGGCATTAGGATCTCACCACTTTCAAACCTATGCATCTCAAATCCCAATATAAATCCATGTACAACATCCTCATTGGATTTATGAGGGTGCGATGTCGGTAAGTGGATTGACCGCCCGAACAAAACTTGTAACTATTGATATTTATCTACCTACATACTAAAACAACGTACCACGAGGAGCTCTCCGCCATAAGATCTCGTCAAATCTCTTCCAGAAGCTCTTCAAGGATCTATTAAGCAGCGAAACATGATACGAGACCTTCATTGCAGTACAGTTGTTACAAACTTTCACAACTTAATTGATTGGCCACACCATTCTATCCCTTGTGAGTTATGAGATGGATTGATGTGAAAATAAGGACTCAAATATTAATCTGACCCCCGGACTGACAGGACCTTCTTACCCTTCCCTTCCCTTCCCTTCCCTTCCCTTTCCTTCCCTCAATCAAATTATCACATCGAGGAAGGAACAACCTGCATTCTTTCATTGGTGAAATAAGGCACCGCACAGCCTATCGCAACCCTCTTCGTTACATTTGACAGCACAGCATGCAGACTCCAAAACTTCTTCTTAGGTCGTTCTTTGCGCATAAAGTATTCACAAAATACATAGTCTCGAATCACCACTAGCAAAACTCTAGAGTCTGTCATTATTTAGCCCGATCTATCTGCACTCTCAAGATCGTAAAGAAATCTCAAAGCACAAACTTTCTCAACTTTGCCATAACATCAAATCTCGCTCAAGTTAATCAAGATAAAGTAAGTCTATGTCTAATTTTGAGGTTCGAAGTAGATGCGCTGACATTGGCAGATCTATATCTACACCACCAGTCAATTCAGGAGAGATAGTTTCAAACGCAGACCTTCCGCTCCTCAATTCGATACACTCTGCAAGGCAAGTCATGTTCGAATTATTACAACCGCGATTTCGTCTTGTCAATTTCTTGTACTCTTCTTGGTAGCTCACGTATTCCGTGTCAAGCGTTTAGGGAAATGGGGGATCATGCAGAAGTCGATAAAGCAAGATCTGCGTTGCTTCAGTCTCTATATATCCTCGTCTCAAATCCATACCCAATCTTCTATCTGAGAAACAAAAAGGGAGTCATGTACTAACTTGCGCAGTGCCAGTTCGGGATCTGATCACTCGATTACTATTAAAGACGGCACTCCCATCTCAAACGGTAATAAGGGGAACGGTCAGCAACAATCTATCAAAAACATCGAACTGTCAAGATGTTACGTCTTCAACAGCATTTATCTACCCGAAAACGTGAACAATGGAGACAATAAACCTTCCCACATGTATCATGAGGGGCAAGCACAAAACAAAATTGGCTTCGGAAGGATAAATACGCATCCCCAGGAGAGTTCTTCTCAACATATATCTCGCCCTCTTCTAAGTAGCAAGAACCACCAAGTGGAACAATTTAATAATAAATACAATGAATTCACGGAATTTCATCCTCCAAAGAATCCTTACACGCCTTCGATATATGAAACTAGGGGTTGTCATGGATATGAGACTCGAATATTTCCTGATTTTACGGTCCCAAGAACAAGCCATCAAAATGGGAAAGCTGTGTCTACATCTTTCACACCTATTTCCAAAATTCTACCTGATTTAGAACGCAGACAAAATACAGACATAGATAAAGGCACCGCTGTACGTAGTGGTTCAGCCACCGAGCCCAGACATCTCTCTGTTCTTGAATTCAACAACTAGAATGAAACTCAAAAGAAGACTATTACCACTCAGAGTAATAAGGACATCGATCTTAGACGTGGCTGCGTCTTTCAATGTGATCGGACCACCACTACTAGGATGATTACTATGACGCACAGTGATGGTCTTACGCAGCAAGATGAAAATAAAGCTCATCGTACCAAGCTACCTGATTTGGAATGTACCATATCACTTACCCATGCTTCGCCCAATATACGCAGCTTCTTCAATGGTAAACATAAGCAAGATAAAATGACACTTGCTCGTCATCCTATTGTTCATGATGAACCCAAAGTCAAACACTCAATTTCTCAACTCCGTTCGTCGACCGATAGCGAGTCGATTAATCACAGGTCTATATCTTTCATTGATCTAACAGGCCCTCTTGAATCTGATTCTTCGTCAAATCACCAAAATCAGCAGAGATACGCAAGCGATCCCAAATCATTGAAACCAGTATCGACTGGGAAGTGCCCAAAGAGAGAGCATACTGTAGACCTAACATTGAATTCCCCTAGTCGGGAAAACCCATTGAAGAGGTGTCGGGTCACTGATAATCACCAATTTGGCTCAGCTCATAGTCACCATAGCACTACCGCAACCTACGGATCTCATAAGCAGAATATCCTTTCTCCGGAACTGAAACATTGGATGAGTTTCAATCCAATTAAGCACATTGTTGTTTGTTCCAAGGATTCACCCGATATTCCAGACAGAATCTACGACATGAGTAACAAAGCTGCGTCAATATCAGATGATATCATGGACTTGCTCAACATCAAAGTTGATCATACCAATATCCACTCCGTACATCTCAAAGATCACAAAGACGACTCACCAATTCCCTCCCTAGGTAACACTAACAAAATGCACGGCTACTCTTCTAAAAGCGCATTGGCATTTGTCTCTGCTATTAAATCTGCAGCAATTGGTGATACTATACTCCTGGCTTCATTAGGTGTTCATGGTATCTCCAATTCACCTCGCGCATGGGTGGATTTGAGAGAGAATTACCCAGCATACAAGTTCTTGATTGCTATACAAGAACGTCGAAATCTCAATCCACATCGAGATCCCTTGTGGTATATTACAAAAGAACGAAAGTATTTGATTTTTCCCTTACATCAGCTTGTGCGAGTGTGCTTGGGGCTGGAAAGTCCATGTGACGAAGCAAAGTTATATTCAAGATACTTGACACTCTCGGATATTTTACGCAAGACCATGGCCAAATCATACACAAGGGCTGAAAATGGGACTGATGTCGACCAACACGCTCGAGCTTTGTTATCACGCTGGGCATGTCCCATTGACATCTGCGGGATGACTTGGTATAGAAGCCTAGCTGGAGACCTAGCATGGCAAACCCATTGTGTGATTGAACACGACGGTTTTCGCAAACTTGTCTGTCCTCTGGCTGCCTGTAGATCCAATACATTCTGTGATTACAAAGGGGTTGTTGAGCATATAGAAAATGTTCACATTGCAGCGCTGGGTCTGAGAGATCATTATCGTAGCTCGCACGATCGTGATAGAACTCTATCTAATTTTCGATGTACTGAGGATATCACAATGTGTGGTAATACACGTTGCAGCTATACAAACCAGCTTGCTCTGGATACTCATATGGAATTTTTTCATCCCTACTCGGCTTGGAAATATCGTTTGAAAGATTTCCCAAGCCTAGCAGAACAGGTAGAAAGCAAGCGGTCAACGGAAAATCTTGAACCGAATGATAGGGCCAATCTGAGTGAAGCTTTTCAATGTATTGATGCGACAGTGGGTAGTCAAGATACGGTTTCAGTGGGACAAAACGGAATGGATCAAGACCTATCCCACGGCATGGAATCACTCGAGAAATCTTGGCCTTTCATGGCGGATTTTCTGCGAGCAACACAGGAGCCTCTCCGAGAAGGATATCTGATTCTTTTGCGCAAGATTCAATGAGATTTTAGTGCAAGTAATTGCTGCTATGTATTCTCTATTTAGTTGTTCTAATATAAGATGAGATCTAGCTTCACTCGTTAGCTATGAAATACGTGAATGAATGCCCTGTGATGGCAATTCTGACGACGAGATCGCTCTTGTTTTAGCTACGTTCTGATATGAGGATCGAAGCTGAGGGAATATACGCAAGATGCTACTAGTATGTTTCGAGATCATTTCGCCTGGCATTCACACGAATTCATTGTTATCCAAAGAGAGCTTAGCTCAAAGAATGAAGATCTATCATCATGACTAGGTGGAATCATTTCGAGCTATACATACCCAATTACTGCAATATCAATACCAGATATTATAATCTTCTCAGTTTCTTGTGCACTATAGGCTGGAGAATCTGGAAAAATACAATCAGATATCATGGCATGTTTTCAACGACTTCGGAATCGATGTTGGCAATGCAAAAAGTAATGATGATGTGTAAATTCTTAGCACTGAGAAGAGTAGCAACGCAGAGAAAGATGAAGTTGGATCTTTCTATGTAATACTGTTTATGGAAGAGATTTTTGATCTTGATCATCACACGGAGTAGGCGTTTGAGGATGTTAATAGTTTGATTTCTTTGCCGGGAGAGCTCGATGGCGTGAATGATGGCTATCATACTGTTTGTTTCATTGTATGAGCAGTATTTATGGATCAGAAATTTCTTAGGGGGAAATGATGGTTATTGGGGTGCTTGTGAATATCCATTCCTTTTGGGTGAAGTTTTCGAGTATGATTTAGGGGTACCTTGGCAGATGGTATATGATGAGTGAATTCTCTGAAGATGTTACTCATTTACCCACCTATGTTTTTTCCTCGAACGCACGAGAATTCGACTTTATCATTCATAATCACCCAGGTAGGTCAGGTAATGGAATGAGAATAAGAATCGTGGAGGCGGGACGTCTTTGTTTATTTTTTCTTTCTCCTCTTTTCAATACCTACTTAGCAATTAAACTTCGCGTTCTAGATTTAGATAGGTAGGAATGAACAAGAAAGAAAATGGATCTCGGATCGCGGATCTTGATGCGATGGGTATAATGATTTTCTTTGTTCTTTTGGGATACAAAATCGATTACCTTTTTGCTGTTTGGTGTTTTCGGACAAGAAAGGAAATTTGTGTATTCGATACTCACACACATATCAAAGTTATTTTTGAAGAGAGATAGTATTATTTACCTGGAATCGGATATCGAAAAGCACAGTCAGATACATTGCGCATAGATTGAATACCTGTACGCAGTCATAATTCAACATTTCTGAGTCAAAGGATCAAAGATATTGGGTTGTTAGTAAGTTAGTGAGTTAGTTTGGGGATAAAGGTATTGGGAATAAGGGCTTGGATTTCTTGTACTTTTTGGGTGTATGAGTACGCAGTTGGTACTACGAATTTATTCAGTCTTTATTACTACGAATTCATCACTACGAATTTACCATTCAAAATTTGCCATCACAAGCCTACCATCACGAACATCACTTCACCCACAACCTCCAACCATCAACCACCAACCACCCACCACCACTTCCACTCTCGACTCCCATAAACCCCAACCCCCTCAACCTGCAGAAATGTGCACCGAATGGGCCTGGGAATACAAATGCGGGCATAGGAAGCCCGAATCCGACGCGGTGACAATGAGACAGAATGATAATTGTCGAGATAATCTACCGGAGTTTTCGAGGGAGTGTAGGTTTTACAGTATGGAGTATACGACGTTTCAGGAGGAGTGTCCGGAGTGTGAGGCGGTGAGGGAGGAGAAGAGGAGGAGGGAGGAGAGGGAGAGGGAGGAGGAGAGGAGGAGGAGATAGAGGGGAAGAGGAGAGGAGGGGAATAGGAGAAAAAAGGAGAGGAGAGGAGAAGACGGGAGGCTGGGAGGGGGCGAATAGGGTAGGGCAGAGGAGTTATCAGGGCGGTAAATAAAGAGGAATGAATACCATAGGTCCCAGATTCAAAACACAAGGACAGCAGGAAACGCAAATTTGAGGAGAATATGATAAGAAGCAAAGGTTTTACTGTTATGATATTTTAAGGATGAGAAATGATTTGGACATATGATATGAAAAGAAGGATCCAATAGGATAGGATAGGATAGTAAATATCAATCTCGTGAGGTTTTTTTAAAAAAATATGGCGATTTCCAGGAACTAGGAAGCGAAAGGGTCGAAATCTTGTGCGCATAAGAAAGGAAATTGAGGATACGTTGTGCAATACATGTATGTACGAAAAAAGGGTGGTGGTGGTGCTTAAATGAATATCACAGATGAAGTTTTGGGTAAAGATTTCTTGTCTGTTCTTTTGTTGTGAATTGTTATATATTGGAATATATCGATATGGACGAGAGTCTGATAGAAAGTAACTAGGTATAATGTTAAGAATTTTTATGTGTTTAGCTGCATTTCAGCATTTCTACTTGTACTAATAAGTGGTATAGTAAGAGATTAAGTTTCAGATCTATTTTTTACTTGCTTACATTATTTCTATTCGGGGAAACATGAAAAGACTTTCTGGTTTAATCATCGGGTAGTCTGATGTGGTTAGGAAGAGTTTCAAAGAGTAATGAAGATTTGTATGAACTGGTGATATTGAGCTGCTAAGCTACCTTGACATGTGAAATATAATCTATGAAAGTGTACGAAGATCAAGAGCAGCTATAACGCCGAAAGTAGAGTGAGAACAGTGGAGAATGCCGTTTTCTACCTTTGTTCCAAAAACCGTTAACATAATTATATGGTCATGTAGGAAATTATTCCCTGTAGCTGAGGGTTTAGAGAATATATGCAGATGTAACGCAGCTTGTGTTGTGTAAAAGATGGAGAAGAGAGATCATAAAGCTAAAATTCCTCAACAATCCCGCGATATCTTTATTTTCGAGGCTTTTCTCTCCATAGGGAGGCAAATCAAGTATCGCAATGAGGAGAACGAAGGAGAATGAGTGTGGTATCAATTTGTGGAGCATGCATTTCATATTTCCTCGAAAAGATGTATCAAATACAATCAAGATACCTCTCCTTACCAACCTTCCTATCTTGACGTGTCATCTTATTCCTGTTATTCATGACAACGAGAGAATTTGTAACAATCAAGGTGTCCAATATATCGCTATCCACTAGACTAGGGAGCTATCGTATTCACTTCTTATGATGGAGACGAGAAAACAACAAGAATCTTGAACAGAGACAGAGTACGTCAAAGTACGTGAAAAGAGGGGCATGGTTGATTCAATTGATATCATAACATGGGGCTGAAACAGCAAAGGACACGCCATATTGCATCTAAAGAATTCATTTCCGAAAATTCGGTTCGGGTCCGAGTGATAAGCCAGTGAGACGGTATGAGATGCTTTCCCTCCCAGTGACGCAGCCATCGACAGAAAGGTAGGCGCATCATCGATTCCACTTAGAATTTCTTCGTCATGTATGACGAAAATGACAATATTGACGTGTCTTCTTCCATTGACCAAAACGCCTTTTACGACAAAGTGATGAATATTTGTTGTATCACACTGCAGCCGCGCCCCATTTGAGTTTTCTCAGCAGAAGCTCAAAGATGATGGAAATGCGCAAGAGTGTCTAAAGCTTTATGGATACTGTAAGCGATGACCAGAAAGGCGGATCGAGATGCCCATTGTTCATGACGGGAAGTCGAAGCCACGTGTGAGCCAGCGGTGCAGAAGGTGACTTGGCGTAGACCCGAGTGTTTGTTCCTGTTGTCTCGTTTCGGAAAACCCCACATATTCTATTGTAAGTGGTGAGACCGTCAGTCTTAGAAGAGAGATGTAGTATTATTTGAGATCAACCAAAGTTGTTTAACTGTACTGTGTAAGCCGGAAGATGAGTCAGATGAAAGGTCGCCGATGCTCACTTGGATGACTATTTGAGATGCTTGGAAATCGGTTTGCAAGTAGGCATAAGTCCGAGGATATAGATTCATCTTGCATAGATAAATATATTATTCTGCATGCTTTGGAGAATCTTCTCTGAGGAGAGATCCACGTGGCTGTAGCAAACGGGGATAAAATCGCCAAATTGTCCGATAGGTTGGCTATCTCTGTTGTCTGAAGATTATAAAGGAATGCGTGGGGGTATCAGAAGCTTTGGTTTCTGACATACATTGCATGGTAGAGATATAATGCTTCCTACGATTAGTCGAAATTCTGCAAGAATATCCGTGTACATTGTTCGTATAGTCCCAATATCCATGTAATGTTTGGGCGTTAAATTGGTTGCAGGTGAGATTGATTATGATGTACATTGGAGAAGCATCCTCGGTCCAGGTTGCTCTTTCAGCTGGTAACCTCGAGGAAAGAGCTTGCTCCGGTAGTGCTAATGTATGGTTACACTAGATGCAGGGCTGAATGATAATGCTGACATCTCACCGTATTCTCCCCTTGGCTAAGCGCGGTGCGAACCGACCATTGCGGCTTGATATGCCGAGCATGCACCAATCAGAAGATATACGTGCAGCCACACCAATTAGACACGCCACAGGCTTCTGTGCATAATAGGCGTATTCTAGATCTATTATGGCGACCAATCGTATATTTTTGGAGGGCGAACATTAGACCGGCTGACGCTTGAAGTTTCCTTCAACAAGGATAAGATTCCCTCCGTACCAGAGTGTCGGTACTGTATAGTAGCCAATCACGAGATTGTCTAGGGTTACATCTGATGACACGAATAAGAAACCCTCTCTTTTGACTTACTGTCTCCATACGCGAGGTGGACATACTAGGGTATCTCAGAATTATAATAGTGTGGTACTCAATTGGGACAGGATTGAAGAAACTGGGAGGCTAGGGTGGAAGTGTTGTATTGTATGCTGGCACAAAGCAATTCCAGATACCTGGTACTGCCAATCAGATCTCTTTTACCAGGAAGCCATTGGTGGGAATTGGCCAGAAATGAGGTCGCATATCTTGGGTTCTTTATCCAACTGTTGGCGCCGGAAGTGAGGGATCAAGCAGCAACCAATGGATTCGTTGAGCTGCACACTCCATAAATTCGACATATGATTACTAGATTGCGATTGCACTTCGAACGATGTTTTACACGCTCTTTTTAAGAGAAGAGAATATTACACCATGAAGAACAGTAATAAAAATACTGGAAAAGTGTTGGTCCGTTGAGTGCCTTGGAACTCTGGCTTGGTGATGCGGGAGGCTGCATGTGTAGAGAAAGACTAAATACGAATCTTTTCTAGCCTTACAGTCAAGTCTGTCTGGTTTCAGTTATATTACATCATGTTCTAGAGCTGTTGTTTGAGACAACATTGTTGTGGGGAATGATTCAAGAGAAAAAAAGAAAGGATGTGATCAACGCCTCTGTCACAAATTTTGTACCGTATATTCTGAGACATCGAGTTGCAATTGGGACTGTTATCGGATCTCAACTATTCCCTCTCGCGTTGTACTCATTAGCCACAAATGTTGTCTGATGGAATACAAACCCAGCTCCATGGTCCTTGAAAAGTATATCCCTGTTGGATTTGACTCCACCTTCTTCCAGAATTGGTCATGAATTCATAGCTTCTCCAAATAACGACATCCTAAGACGAAATAGCTTACACCATATAAAATAGATTGGTGGTAGGTGCGGACATTATTCGTCTTCAGCCAAACAAGACATGATTGCTTTGAAGGCGCTGATTGTGACGTTTGACAGGAGAGTGTACTATGTTGCAGAATGATCCAGTGGTCAGTTTTCATTAGTCCTTTTGTTCTTTTCTACTCAATATGATTCACAAATTCTCAACACGTACAATTATCCATGACACGTTTCCGGGCCCGAAATGATGGTTAGAATTTGGAGCTTTTTGGTGGTAGGAAGTCAAGTCTTGCAGATTGATTAGATAGTAGTGACAAGAGATGACAAGCTGAGCAGAGAAATGTGGGCTTGATTGACTCGAACTTAGACAAGGATTTGATACCTAAGAGTTCGGTTGATCCTTCAAATTTTGTTAGAACTACCTAGTACGTACCTATCTAGGTCAGCGAAGTGATCAGTCCAGCTGGGATTTTGGTACCTCGGACGGTATCTCTTTCTAATCTTCGGGTCGTCTATCTCCCTTTAATATATGGTACATTATGACATATATGACTCCCTAGCATTTCGGATAAGGCGCCTCACTCCTAAAAGGTGGGTGGGTGATAATAAGTAAGTGACGGTGGGTGGCCCATGTGACTACTTTCAAACACATTAATAACCCTGTACCGCGGGATCCTCCACATTAGTTGTTACCAAACTGTCGGGTCGTCCCCAAAAGTGGAGATAGTTTGATTCACATAAATTCCCACTATTCTTGAGAAGGAAAGTGGGAGAAAGGAAACGGGGAAAGGGAAAGACCAAAATAGGTCTGGTCACTGATGGTTCGGATATTATTAGGAGTCCTGGTGCAAAAGTAGGTATTCTGAATACATATAGCGAGATTAGTCTTTCATTTGTATACGTGGATTTTTACAGTAGTGTATATTGTTCCTTACCATATTCTATATTGTATCTATCCTATAATAGCGAGCCTCAAGCGTGATTGTCGTGATTGAATAGCCGAAGCCCGCTTTAGGGGCTACACGACGAGATACGACGTGATGTAAAGAATAACACGTCCGAGTATAGGTATTGAAACATGGTTTAACTGAAAGATGTGCAATATTGCTTTTGTTGAAGTTCGAGCGGTGTGATATGATGGTAAAATCTTACTTGTGGTCGACTTTTCTGGGGGGTTCATTGTCATCTTGACATCAAAATGTGACCCTTCTCCACGGGTTCCCGCACTTTTTGCATGCTCACATCAAAGGGATCGTATTCGGGGTTATCTTCACCACATTTCAGCTTTCGAAAGCGTGGAAATGAGGCTTACACCGACAAGCTCTTGTGAATATTGTTCAGGAAGTTTTTGGCCATGAATGAAACGTCCGCAGGGGGTAACCAGACTGCTGGAATTCGATAGAGTTCCTTTTCTCTGTGAAATGGCGGTAAGAAGAGTTTACTTATTTTGTTAAAAGATGATTTGCTTATTTTCCTTGTAAGCGCTGACAGCTGTTGGTATTTGAAAGTAGCGCGCAATGCGATGTACGACGTGACGCAAAGGTGCGGGTGAAATGTGAATGCTAGCGCCGATGGTAGATGTAACGAATTAGCACAAGGAGACTTGATAAGGTTCGAGCTTTGAACCATGATTGAATCGCGATGTATTAAATTTCATTTCCAGGATTCTCAAGGTCACTCACATCTAATTCCAGAAATGCGTTTTGTTCGGTTCAAGTACAAGTGGAGAGTATGATCAGCACGAAGTCGAAAAAGGCAAATGTGAAGATTGAGTAAACCTGTTGGTGTCTTGGAGGTTTTGACTACTGGTCTTGAAAGCGTTAGTCTTGAGGAACGATCGAAAAAAGAAACGGTGGTTTCTAGGTAAGTACTGCCATTGGCTCAAAAGAGGCGGGATTAAAGATTATTAACAATTCACAATTTGGTTGGAGATGCTACCTAGGTGTGTCTTGACTTTTGAGGCGTAAGAGTGGGATGACCGTCTTTTTCAACGATTTAAAAGATATTTGCCAGGTTTATCTGAGAAAAGCGTAGGTAGAGACCGGTGCTGATGTGCATCTACCTAGGCACGTGGATAGATTATCTGATGTTAAAGCCTGTAAGCTTGTCGTCGAGTAAGTTGAAACCTTAAAAGTGGTATACACTAGGTCTATTAGCACCGGATAAATTCCACACGAAAAAGGATTATGCTTGAAAGAACCATGCAAAGATGGACAGATGTAAGAACGGAAAGTCGAGCCCTTGTGCTCCCACATTTTGTAGAATCGCCAAACTCTTCATTGTTCTCGATCCACTAAATCACTGAACCATCGCAATGGGACCACTGCGAAACATTCTAGAGGGTTCACCAATATCCAATCATGTTAGTCTTACGTTCCAAGACGGAAATGATATTGAATTGAAAATCGATATTAATCTTCCGGGAATGAGGATCTGGTGTGTGTATATATGTATGTGTAAGTGTAAAATGTATATGTACACATATATATAACTATGTGTGTTTTACAACATGTGCAGCAACCTCAATGGAGAGAGACACATGAGAGATATGAGAGGAGGATGAATATCAAGCACTCTATTTCTGTGAATAGTTTATCATCTCACAGAATCACAACAATATTCTTGGATAAAACCAAACAAATGATGAATTCGTCTGTCATCGGTTAATGGTTGTATCAGTACATATTCTGAACCTGTTAAGCATTTTGTCTCCTAAATTCGGTATAAGCTGCAACGGGGGATGTCATCGATGTATTCGAACATGATATCATTTCTTCATTCATTTTAGTATCTTTATAGAATATTACGAGGGTACACACATACCACTTATCAACCATATCACCTACGTCTTATGTACTAAATAGGTATCTCCTTAATTACACCTGGGCTCTGAGCTCAAGAACAGTATTAAATTTTCGGTAAGGGTTTCACATAATATCTGTGCACACCAAGGTACCGGCCAAAACTACCTAAAATACACTTCACTGGCACCCGCAATGACTACATTATTTTACATCGTAATGATTTGATCCAATAATCTCAAGTTATTCTGAGTTCAATGTTCATCACTCTTTTGTTATCCACTCCTGTCAAGGTTTTAGCGGCGAAGCTAATCCATTTACTGATTCCATCTCGCTCGCAAGATACGCTCCGAGTTCACCTAGTCAACCGGTAATTTCGTTTAGTATATTTACATCGTACCTACCAGCTAAAATCATATAATGTAAGCAACTGAGGTACCGCCAAAAAAGATAAGTATTAGACATTTAAAGTATAGATAAGTATGCAGAAGATTACCAATACAGTACAATATTTCCGGGGTTTGATGATTGAGACCATCCGAGTTGGAAGACTGTTGGTTTCTACTTTTCACGCAGTATCCCAAAAATCATTACCACCAAGCAAGATATGAATAGTAGCTAGCTATTTAAGGGAGGAAGAATTAGTGAGACGAGGCTTGAACGGTAAGTTGTGCCGCTAATTTTATCCCGGCTCCGCCCACTTGGATCCTTGTGGTACAATCTTCCGATACCTACCAGCATGGGACAAGGTGTAGAATAGTAAGGAACATGGAACGAAATGATGTAGCTTGATGCTTGCAATCTAGGGTATGATGTAGGTTTTGGAACTTTGGAGGTCTGGTAAGGGATCAGGTGTGAGGGGAAATCATTGGAGGATAAGACAGAGTTAAGATGTCTGATTGGGGAATTGGAACAAACTCGAGATAAAAAATGTTGGATAAGTCACCAAGGGGTACTATGTACAATCACCCTCGACCTAGGTCTGTAACAACGACCAGCGAGCAGCCAGCTGTTCTAGTTAATTTAGATCTCTAAATCAAGATAATCGATTCTAATTTTGTCAATGAACTCGACATACATTCTGCATATGATAGCCCATATTTTAACCATATTCAGTACACTCATACACCACTATAATGGTAGAGTTTGTATTGTACCTTGACAATTCATGTCTGGTAGGCATTTGCTAGCTACTCATTCCTCTCTGTGCCTCTCGTACAAATGCAATCGAGTGGCGTTGAGATTCTGTTTGGCAGACGGAACCTTCTTGAATATCTCAATGGTAGTGGTATTCACGGTGTCAAACTCTAGAATGACAACAATAATAGCTAAGAAAAGAGATATTTGCATGGTGGAGGTGGTGCTGGTGCTGATACGGGTCATGAGTGAGTGGGTGAGTGAGTGAGTGAGTGAAGCGTTGTACACAATACAAGAAGTACTAATAGCAACAATATGTCTCTTGCCAACATAGTACCCAATCAAGTAATCCATCTTTCTTTTTTGGTGACTTTTCTAACCCCACTGATGATGACTTCGACCTCCCTATAAGTAGTGCAAGATTGTAGCCAGAAAGATGCATTGCCATAGACCACGTTGTCTATTGAATTGCAGCTTCGATCTTTTCATCTTCTTTCCCCACGATTGATATCACAAGTACTCTTTGGCTAGACTTCCAAACGTCTAGCACTCCTTACTACTGAGCACGCACTTGCCGAAGAACGACTACTATTACCAGCATCCCCTATCATCATTTTTTATTCAATTTTTTTATTCATTTCTTTCCTCTCTTGTACCAATCCCGTTCCAAGAATCTTGGGGAAGGAAGTTGAGAATCAATTGCCTCTTCTACCTCTTGTTCCCTTCCTCCTTGATTGGCAATCTAGGCGTGGGACCATACACATCGTTGGCGGTGTCACACAACGATCGTACGGAAACAATTGAAGTACAAGACAAGACAAGACAGGACAGGACAGGACAGAAGTAACCTTGCAATCACTGCACACTGTACACTGTACACTGCACACTATACAGGTCATAGTTCAGCAAACTATCGTACACAAGGTTTCTACTCGAGGAATTTGGGAATACCACCTCAAGAATCCCATTTTGGAATACCACCTAGCAGAAGTGGGGGATGGGAAGCAAAGTACCGCGACCAAAAATACAAAACAAGCTCTCCATCTCTACCCAGGTATACATACTCCGTACATCCATACCATCCATCCATACATCCATACGCACGCACATACAACCAATCCAATACCATATATTCGACTCGACCCAATATTTCTTTCAAAACAGAACTTTCTGAAACTTCTCCCAGCTTTTCCGGAGCTTAGGACCATTTAAAATATGGATTGTTAGGATATTATTGGATTTCGAAAATTTGGGAACTGTCGATCATTGTCTTCCCCAAGGCCATCTATTTATGCTTGCAAGAATCAGGGTCGTTGTTTTCTAAATTCACTCTATCTTTCACTCTATCTTTCACTCATCTCATCTCGTCTCGTCTCGTCTCATCTCCAGCGCTCTGTCCTCTTGGAGCTGTCTGTGGTGGGTCTACAAAGTATTCAATTACATCTTCTACAGACCTTCCTAGTAGAACTTTTCATAATCATATCACAGCCAAATCCACAACTAAATACACAACCAAATATACACCGGACAACCAAATATACAATTGACAACCAAACATCTAATTGACAATCACACATCCAACTCACAACCTGTCAATCATCGTCACCATCGTCATCATTCTTTGCTATTTGCTGCCGTTGACTACCATTCTCCACCATCTATCACCGATGGTCAACATTGACCACCCATTCACCACCACAACCCACCACCACAGCCAACCACTGGACAAGCCATTGACACTTAATTCGACCCTTGAACCCTATCAAACTTACGAATTCGAACCCCAGAGCCGAGATACATCACTGGCATTACCATTATCCACGGGCGTTACCCGTCACCTGTACGCCCTAACTTAAAAAAAAAAGTTACTACAGACAGTTACGGCGAAGCACGACAGGGGCCATAAAAAAAAAGTCAAAATAGCTTGCTTTACCGCCGCCAGGTAACTAACTAGTAACTAGTAAGAACAAGCTCGAACCTATAAGTAATTCAATCATAGTTTGGACACTCCTACCACCAGTACCACAATTCCACGCGGCTCCTCTTTAGAATACCTAGATCAACATCATTCGAGAAGCATTTTTGCATTTCCATGAGACGCAGTCATATATCAGATTACTCAGGTCGAATACCAGAGTCAGCCGGCAGACAGGAGCTCAAGAAGCAGAATACAGGCGACATACTCCAGGAATATAGTGGCTGCATGGCAATATAAACCATCTGAATTTCCCTCAACATTTCCAATCGACCGGCACATGCTGAAGAAGAATTCGACAGCAGCATTTTAGTATCGCAATAGAAAAGCTTCACCTATGCTCTAAAGTTAGCAGAATAAGCAAAAGGCTGTTCGCGACAATAGATCTCGAACCAGAATTTACTTAATGATTGTTGCAATGGCCATGGCTAACAATGGGTACGTGCTTCTTTCTCCGTTGCCCTCTGCTCTCACAACCGCTCCCTGGATATCAGCAGAAGCTTTCGCACATGCCAATCGTATCGGCAACTATTAAATGAGATTGTGGGCTGCATTCTCTCTGTTGTTGCTCTCTACATCTCAGAATTTACGCATGCGCTGACGGAACTGAATTACATAGATCACTTTCTCCTGCCCCTCCTGCGGCTTTCCAAGAGCCTCCACCCGATTACATTGAAAATGGACGCCTGTATCATGGACTACACAAAGGAAAATACATGTTTCCTTGCGACGAGGTAAATGCGCCGGGTGTTTCTAGGTGGGATATTGCACACGACCAAATGCTGATATACATTCACAGGATGAAAAGGACCGGATGGATATATTTCACAAATTTTTCGAAGTCGCAATGGGAGGTGTATTACACTCTAGGAATACCACGTTCACGAACAATTATGATGGGCCACGAATTTTGGACTTAGGGACGGGCACCGGAATATAGGCGATTGATATGGCCGAGTAAGAATAAGATTTTGTCTCATTTGAGGCCATAAAGTCTGCAAATCCAAGGGACTGACAAATTCGGTATATAGCAAATATGGTTCAGATATGGGTACAGGTGAAGTTCTCGGGCTTGACCTAGCTAGAATACAACCTCCAACGTAAGAATTCACGAATCTTTCCTTCGAGCAACAGTATATACTAAGCATCACTCCAGTATCCCCGAAAATTTACAGTTTTTCCAAAGAGATATAGAATCACCTTGGTGGGGACTCGAAGTTGAGTCGTGGGATATGGTTCATATACGGATGCTTTCCGGGAGCATTAACAGCTGGCCTGCATTATACCAAAAGGTCCGCAGGTAAGGCCTCTTCATCTCAACCCCCTTCTACAATACACGACTTGAGCTAATACAACGTTGTAAGGTATCTCAAGCCTCAGGTAGGCCGTTTTGAGCAGGTTGAAATAGATTTTACTCCTCGCTCAGATTTCGGGGACATTCCAGCTGACTCGGCGCTGGCTACGTGGGCGCGGAACCTTTTCGAAGCTACTCGGCGCAATTTTCGACCTCTAGCTTATAATACCGAGATTCGAGCAATGCTTCAAAAAGAAGAATTTCTCGATATTCAAGAAGAAGTGATACGAATTCCTCTCAATCCCTGGCCCGATGATCCACAAGAAAAGGATGTTGCAAGATGGTACAATCTGGCCCTCACCCAGGGACTAGAAGCAATGACGCTTGGACCTATGCACAGAATATATGGGTGGACGAAAGATGATGTCACAAGGCTGATTACAGAAGTGAGGAGAGATATTTGCAATAGGAAAATCCGCGCTTATAATAATTTGTGAGTCTTCTCCCTCATGGTTAGATTTTCCAAGAGTTCACCGGGGCTTTTTGGGAATACTAAACAACTCAATTCGAACTCTCAATCCGATATTGCACGGCCTCATTGAGAGTATTAAGAGTTCACTAACTTATTTGTAATTCAGGCATGTATGGACTGCACGCGCACCGGTCAAACCCCCTTCATAGACATCTTTGGGGTTTCAAGAGGTTGGAGATTACAAACGAAGACCGATTGGTCAATGTGGTTTGGATCAGCGAACTTTAAGTTTTTTTTCGGATATTGCGATCAATTTCAACCAGGGTTTTAGTCCAGCTTTTCATTCCGAACCTTGCCTTTCGGCCTGGCGCGCTTTTGAGGCTCGGACGGATGATGAATGAATTTATGGGATGGAAATTTATGCGCATTATTGTTGGATGCGCGCGCATATTATATGCACCCTCTAAGCGCCTGCAGGAATATGGATCGACATTGAGAGTTGTTGGGGATTTAATGTACCCACGGCTGATTGACCGAAAATGCTAGGTACATCCGCAAAGGATCATATGAGAGGACGGCGAAGTTTGGGTGGCAATCTATACTTCAATTCTTATAGGATATTCAAGGGAAGGGGCGGACCGAAGCGTGTATGAAGTGTGGCGGGCATAATCGTGGATTGGCCCGAGTACAAACACAGCAGACTGTTGCTCCCAAGATTTCGGGTCAAGCTTGCCTAAAGCGTAGTGGGACTGGGTTACACGAAGCCTTGGTATAATTGAGAGGCGCAGCACGACATGAACCCGACAATTCTTGGACTGCATACTACAGAATTTGGTAATTTAAAATACCAAATTAACTGTGGTTTCTGACGTGTCGGTTGTATGGTGGAAAATGAGGAAAAGAATGTGCTGGCCGTTGCACTACTCATGAAGGTTACATTTTTTAATTTCAACGGATGAGAAAGAACAATTGATTGGTCAATTTTGTCTCATCATTAAAGATCCGAGATATGGTAGCGAGAGTCAACAATGAGAGTGCAGCCGACGCACGGAACACCAATAAATGTGCACATACATGTGACATACACATACAGATACATAGGCTTGCTTACTCCTACTTCTCACACTTCTTTCTCAGCATTTTCTTTTAAAAAAAAAGTTACAATTTCCGTATTTAGTATTGAAAAGTTTAGAAGGATTGGATTTACTCCTCAGTTGGTGGACACTGGGTACATGGTTAGAAGTAGACGATTAGCACGTGCTCTACTTTTGGATTCGTCTGCAGCTTTTTAACGATTATACCCCAATGCATTTTTTTGTTACTATCTTCTCCTTCCATTTGGATGGCTTGATTCATTTGTTGGTTTTTTTTTTTCCTGTCACGTGGATTCTTGTTCAATTTTTCTAAATAATATCTGCATAAGCATTGCATATCGATTTTTTGATGATATCCCTCTCGCAGGCTTTTTTCCCCCAAAATTTTGTTGAAGATGATTTGGAATTCCAACTGCATATACCTACCGCACGTGCATGCACGCATAGGATCTGGCATGGATTGGGTCGGGATTTGATTGAAAGATGGATGGATGGGTGGATGGATGGTAGTAATGGACGAATGGATCGATGAAAAGACGGATCTATAAACCCGGTTCGAAAAACATCCGATGTATCTTTTATTTTGGCTCTCCTTTTAGGTACCCTATCTATATTGGAGGGAATTATTGCACATTTGTCTATTTGTGCATTTATCTATCTGTCTATCTATTCACATCTGCTTGCTTACTTACTTGGCTATACCTAGATACTTACTGGGTTTTGTAAATATATACACCTGTCTACTTATCATACCTCTCACAACTATTATAGAATATATGTATACATACACATATGATCGTTACGGTACGGTACGTGTTTGTGATGTCAGCTTGTGTGTGTATCGCATGTAAGAACCAATCGGAATGAAGTGGAGAAATTGAGGTTACTTGTTTGACGGAATGGTGGAATTTTCTAATTGTTGTAGAGAGGTATGTTGGTGATGAGGATATGTATGTCATCGTGTAATGTAATCATGTAGTGTTGAGTGTTGGGTGTGTGTGTAGGTGTTTATATGGGTTTATGGATTTATGGGTTTATGGGTTTATGGGTTTATGTGTGTATGTTTGTATAATGTACTAATCATGTCTAATTAAATATCCCAATACACCAGTATATATAGGGTAGAACACGACGGAGTAGAGTGGATAGAAGAGGATGGGATGGGATGGGATGGGTTGGTGTAGTGTAGTGTAGTGTAGTGTTGTGTAAAGCGGAATATTTCTAGACGCGCGATTATTTTTATGGATGGGCTGGGTTTGGGTTTGGGCGTGTGGAATTGTGGAGATGTGTGGTTGTGTGGTTGTGTCTGTATGTAAGAGGTTGGAGGTTAAGATTGGAGATGGGATAGATATGAAATGGGATGGGATGGGATGCAAAGAATAAATACAGCCCTGACATTAACGTTACAACCGCGCTTATTTTGAGGGTTGGGGGTTAGAGTACTGGGATGGGGATATTGGGGCACGGGGGGACTGGGGGGAAGGAGAAATGTGGGAATGAGGGACTGAGGAAATGGGGCGCTTAAGGTTTGGGTGGCGTGGTGGCGGTGGATTTGTTTTAGGGGGAGAGGGGTGGGGGATGTGGTTTTTTGAGATTTGGATCGCATGGAAAGTGCTTGAGATTCGGCTTCGGGTTGGGATGTGGTGTAGTGAGGTGGGGGGGAAGGTAATTACGGGGGTTTGAGCGGTTTTGTTTTATTTTTGTTTCTTTGGGGGAGAAGAGAGAGAGAGAGAGAGAGAGAGAGAGAGAGAGAGAGAGAAAGAATTAGTGGGTGGGTGAGAGGTGAGGCATAGAATAATAAAGTGGGAGATGATCGATGGAGTGAGGGATATAAGTCAAAAGATAGGAATCAAAGAAATTGAAAAGACAAGATTCTTGTGGAGCGATGAGATTGAAGATTTTACAAGGGTTTCCTATAGTTATATTAGATAGTATTGCGCTTTTTGGATTGGACAGCTCAGTGGACAAGCATCGACGAGGAGGAGCGAAGGGAAGGAATTGAAGATTCTTAGAGAGTGTTGTGAACTCTGGGATGGGGATGGATTGTATTTTTTACTTGGTATCTGATGTTTGGGTGAGCGGGATGATTGATGTAAGTGAGTGTGTGATGGGGAATTAGGATGTGGGATGGGAGATGGAAACAACCAATGCTAAATACTGTGTTGGAACATTTAAGATGGGATGATGATATCGATATCAATATCAAGGCGAGGTATATAGATACTTTTAGAAATGAAGGAGAGGGTAAGGGAAATAGGAGGAGAAAGGAAATGGGAAGGGAATTCCTCGATATCATATACCTAGACTCCAGAATCATGGATTTCTAGACGACTGGTAAGTTGTCCACGGATGTGTTTTTATAAAGTGATGAATGGGTGGATGGATAGATGTATGTAGGTGAGTGAGTAAGATGGCTATGTGTCGATACTTCTTGTGAAATCAATGGATATTTATAAGCTTGGTATTATATATATATATGATTATCTTGATTTTCTTGAAAAGAAATTAGGAAGGCTTGATTTTTCACCCGGGGGACGTTTCATATATATATATAATATATGCATGCAATTCTACACAGCATTACACCATACATATACAACTCATCGACCGAAAATCAAGAACCCATATAAGATCTTACTACGTATATATATCCCTGTATCCCTCATCCATTATCAATATCTCTGCCTAGTAATTTCTGCCACAAATCCGAGTACCATTTTCGTCATAAATATCTCCAATATCGGATGACGAAGGTGTTTCATAAGACATCAAGTCGAATAAATTACGGTAGAGGTAGATGGAAGATAAGAGAGAAATCTTTCACTGGCATATGTAATATGTATATCGAAAGATCTTCGACTAAGAGTATGTTTCTTGGTGACTATGTGTATCGAATTATGGAAACATCAAATATGCATGCTATTCAACTGTGTAGATATATGGTTTTTGTAAGTATCTGGATTCCTTTCTCTGGTTTTTTGAATGAGGATTCCTGGTAAACATCATGCTGGTATGTCGGATTCGCAGATTGGGGTGTAGTTGGATTTAGATTTTTGTTGTGGGGGGGGGCAGGGGGGAGTTTGGACTTGTGTTGAGGTGAGATGGAAATGGATGGGATTGTTCAAGTAGGGTGGGTATCGATTTTGTTTGGTTTGGTTTCGGATGGGTAAAAGAATTGAGAATATACCTATGAAAATAAACGGGTAATTACGTATATGGTATTGGGGGTACGGACTTTGGAAATCATAGATGTGGGTGCATATGATACTATATCACCCCCTATTCCTGGATTATAAACTCCAGGGAATGCGTGGATGGTATCAATCCAACTCGATCTCTGTGTAGTATGTACGCACAAGCACTATCTCCACTGAGAATCACACCGAAATTCTGCTTCTATGCGATTCCTAAATTTCTCGCACATTGATTTTTATTCTCTATGCTTTGTAATCTTACAATGTGAAGGATTTCAGTAGACAATGTTCTCCTGCGATATCTTTCCATTATGCTCTTGTGGAAACTATATCGGAGGTTTTCAGAATGAGATCTGATCTCTTATTTTTCATTGAGGAATACTTGGACATGAGCAAATGTATGATTTGAAACCCCTACTTTGCTAATTTCTCGAAGCATGAGATTTGATCTGGTGGTTTAATAGTCACTCTTGGGAAATTGATGATGTAGCATACTTTGTGAAGAGACTCTTCTCTCGAGATTGTGTACTTCGGGTATATATTTGCCTCCTTATAATTCTTCTCGTGCGCCTAGTTGTTGGTCTAGATTTACCAAACATTTCTTTGTAAGGAGCATGATAGGTTTCCACATTATATCTCAATATTTTGGATTTTATAACCAGGAAAGCTAGTGATGAGACAGACTTTCCTTTACATAGTCTTTTTGTTATTGCCACATCATGACCGGAGCTTTGTAAATGAGCTTAACAGTTTGTGTACGTGTTGTCTGACCATTTTCGAGGGAAAAAATTCTGTTTCACCTATACTTTGGTGGTAAGTATGAGAGAAGTGAATGTCGATACACTGTCTCGAACTTGGTCTGTCTACGACCCAGGCATGACGAACATCCTTGAGAGAGAGAAAAGGGAAGAATAGGCCGTA